TTGTACGATAACAATCAAATGCCCATCATGTAGTGACAGTGTTTAGTAAGTTAAGAATTATTCTGAATTTGAACCACAGCTGGCGAGGTGAAAGGCTTTATCCTATTACCAGTCCCCTGAATCGTTCAGTCTGGAGTGTGAGGCACAGGGCTGTGATTACCAATTCATTTCATAAAGGCCAACCATTTAAAATTCTCTCAAACTAGCAGCTGCTTGAGGAATGAAAAAGCTCTTAGGTCTGGACAAATATCTTTTTCTTCATCTAGGTTAATTTGAAAAGAAAAACAACAGTTCTTTCCCTTGACAAATGAGACTTTCAATCAGCGTTGAGCTATCCTTGCAGAAGGATAACCTGTGTTCGCTTACTTGACATATGGGATTCTTCCACTTCCAGAGGTGGGAGCCATGGTTAGGCTGAAGAGCACTTGACAAAATAAGCTGCTTCATGTGACCGGTCCATAAGAGGGATCATTTAGGTTTAATGGGGAGAAAAGAACAGGCAATCACCCGCCTTCGGTTTTGGGTTTTTTTTGGTGTGGTGTTGCTGGATTCTTTTATTACTATTGCTTATAACCACAGATGGAGACATCCCTCTCTTCCCTTTCCTTCTGTTCATTGGTTTCACAGGAAGGATCACCGATGACTTCTGAAATCAGGCAGGTCTTAGCTTTCCTCCAGATGCTGAGTTAGAATGCTCCTTACTGCAGGAGGCAAACCTTAATTCACTTGGCGGTAGGATTACAGCAGGTACATTCATCCTCAAAAGCACTCCTTTTTCCATACCTAATTATCTCTTGATCTGCCAAGTCACGAGGAAAATCAAAATCGTCTTGTGTTTTAGATTATGTTTTCTTAGGATTGATGGGAGAATTCTGGGTGACATTCTGAAAAGCATTCAATTTATAGGATCAAAAGACTGTGGCTTTTAGGAGCATCTGTTCCTCAGATGTATTAGGGGCATAAGAAAACAGTACCTTTGGTTTAGCATAGGTGGAAGATTGCTGCCTTTATTGCCATTGGTGTAGGGTAAGATCATCACTTGTGTTTTCAGATGAGGCTTTGAAAACGATTATCTGGTACATTCTGACTGGAAACTGAGTTGCCCATAGGGCATGCTTCAAAAGAGTAAGAGCGTGCACTAATAATTCCACTATATTTTTTCCTTTGTCCCTCTGCAATACATTTTCCCAGCAACCACAATCCACTCCAGAGGAGGAACAAGGTGGTTTGGTTTTGCGTGTGTGTGTAAGGCATTTGATTTATGCTTAGGGCAGCTGGTGTTGTTTTCTTCTTTTCTGCAACATTCCTGTGTGATCTTTACATTACTATTCCCTAATTGAAAATTGGTTATAAGCAAGATGCTTTTCTGCCTGCTTCGTCAGTCTATTCTGCTTAGCCTACAAGCAGTTTCAGACAGAGGCTGTCTCTCATTCCAGAGGCATGTACACTGCCAGTGTGCGTGCTTTATTGGCCTCAGAACACTGTGCTGTAACACTCGCTGGCCACTTCTGATGTGGACTGGTTGTACCTACAGTCACGCACCGCATGTCCTTTTCTCATCCCTTTCTGTTCCCTCAGCCCTACTTGAGCAGAATTTGCTCACTGTGACTCTGTCTGTGAATACCCATGGCAGCGTGTAGTTTTTCTCCTTCCCTCTGACTGCGTGAATCTGTACCAGCATTTTGGTTTAATCTATCACATCCTGGATCTCGCCAAAATCCAAATCCCGTATGTAAGGTAGCAGTACAGGTAGAAGCGTTCCCATGGGTATGTGGTTTGTAGAATAGCTTGGGATCATTTAAATTGGTAAGAGCTGCGTAAGTTTAAAGAACCGTTATGTCTCACGCTCGCATAAACTTACATTCTACAGCTTTGCACTCTGCCGTGCAGATTAAATCACAGCAGATCTGTCTGAAGCACCCATTGAGGCTAAACAGCGGCATGTCTTCCGCTCCGTTGTTTAATATCAGATGTTTTATTAAGGGAATTAAAATAAAACTTGACCTAAACAAGGCAGCCTCCTGCTATTTTTAGAACATTATGCTGTATTCCATGTTCTTATTTCGCAGACTGGTGTGTAATTAATGATGTGTGTCCTTCCTTCCCTTGCTAATTGATGCACGACCTTTTGGGAGGTGGGCATCGTTATCAAACGTAATCACGCAGAAATGTGAGAAGTGGGAAAAGGAAGAAACAACAAAAAAAATCGCCTTTCATTGATGTTTTCTCACAGTTGAAGCGTAGGGCATGTTGCCTACAGTTCAGGACTTGCATGTCTCTCCCACTGCTGCAGGCTTCATGGGCTTTGAACAGCCTTTGGCTCCCAGCGCCTCCACGATCCTCTTTAGAGAAGTCGTCCTTGGTGTGTCTGCTCCTCCTGCCACCCCTTGCCCTGGCACATGGCAAGAGGGCAGAGGAGCCTCTCCCTCCATTTTCTGCTCAGTGATCTCCATCTCACTGCTGTTCACTTTCAGGTTGGAAAGCAGGTGTGCCAGAGACCGTAGGCTCCTTTAATCCCTATTAAGAACAGCAGATCACAGTGGCCCCTCTGGCCTTGTTCCCTATGACTATGAAACTAGCTTTAGCTGCACAGCGATTTAATCTTTCTAGTGGAAATGTAGTGCTGGTCAAAGGTCTGTGTTGCATCTTTTAGGATGGTTTCTTAGCTCTGTGAAGTTAATAGTGAGGTAGCGTCTGCTCCAACTCACAGATTTTGGCAGAAGGTGTGTGCAGCACACTCACCTTCCTGCAGCTCTGCTCTCTTGTGGGGAGAGGTCCTGAAAAGGAGAACCAAAGACGTGCAGCAGGCCTCTGCTGCAGGCCCCTCTTCTCAGTGCCACCCAGCCAGTGACCGCAGGGAGCGAGCGAGCAGCTCTGGCCCGTGTTATGAGCTGTGAGGGGATGAGAAGCAGCTCCTCGTCATTTTATCTCTAAAACTGACCTGGTGCAGCCCGTCAGCTGCTGCAAGTCCTTGCTGAGAGTGCAGACAGGGCGAGCTGGGGTGCCTGCTCTGCACAATGAGCAGGGGGCAGAGAGAAAGGCTGATGGGGGTATCTGCTCCTCTGGCTGTTCCCCCCAGCGCTGTTCCTCCATCTGCAGTTAATTTAGAGCCTACCTAAAGTGCGTCCACAACTACGTTTAAGCAAAAGTGGTTACCATAGTAACACTGGAGCTTTTCTAAATGCAGTCTATGATGTAAACAACTGAAACGACTGTCACCCCAAACAGTTGTTTATTTCATCTGTGTAGTTTATTGAGTATTTAAATCTGTTGTAGCACACACAGATTTACCGCTTCTAAGTATGACTTAGAGCAGTAACACATTTTTTTTTCTTTTTGCTTCCATTTCAGCTGATCTGTTTCCATGTCAACAGCACACATTGATAAAGAATTGACATTCTGACTGCATGTGGCAGTGCAGGGTACGAGGTGGTAATTAAAGTAAATCAATGTTTCTAATGATGGCGATGTTAAAACTGTGCCAAAATCCTGGGATTCCCATGCACGGTAGCCAGAGATTGCTTCTTGAAGCTGCAGAGAGCGAGGCAAGAATTCTCAAGGGAACAGACTTTCTTTGCGAGGTTTTCAAGCCTTCCTGCTTATAGATGCAGAAATACTGGGAAAGCAAACTCATTCGCTCTCTGCCTGTCTCTCAGAAAAATGCACCTAGCACTGTCTACGTGTGCACATGTGTATTTGCTTTGGCTCATCCAATTCTAATCTAGGTGCAGCTTAGAAATGCATAAAGCATGCATTAAAAACAAAGAACTCGATTCTTGGACTACAAACCTGTTTTGAGTCAAGTTTCTGGCAAAAACTGTGGAGCAGGAGGGCTTAATTAGCCCCCTCTCTACTCTTGATTTTCTTGTGGTGAATGTATGTATTGAACTTACTGAGGGACCAGAAACATGGAGGCCCAGAAGGGCATCTTTTAAACTTGGAGGCCTGCTCAACAAAGACCTGCACTCCAAATTGTGTACTTGGGGGATGAAAGTGGACTGCTTTTCTCTGTCTGTGTGAGCAGCATGTAGATTCACAATTGCCACAGTTGAGGTGTCATTGCTGTGTTTGTTTTGCTTTCTGTTAGAGCCTAGAGCAGCTCAGATCTGCATTAAGCACCCCGTTTATACACCCTAGGAGAGATGGATGTAGTCCCCAAGAATTCCCAGACTAACCAGGCAGCAGATGGGGAGAGAGACAAAATGCTATCTCCGTTTTGTAGGGACAGAGAGGGATTGAAAGGAATTTGTTTAAAGCTGCAGATAGGAGGATGCAGGCTCCCTACCTGCAGTTCGGGTGCCAGAAAATCCCTCATCTTCTATTTTCTCAGGGTCATACTGAGTCTTGTGGCAGGCATGGAAATTGACTCTCCATGCTCCTTAATTGAAATGTGCTCATTTCCAAGGGTGAGCAAAGTTTGGGAATACATTTACATGGAGACATTTAGCTCTGTGGGGACGCTCTGTCCAGTTTGAAGTGGGATTGAGCTAGTAATTTCTGTTATTTTTAGGTCTATGCTAACTTCCTGGTCTCAAGCATCTAAATGACATGCCTAGTGGTCATTGTTGCTGTGGATTCTGTTAGTAGCCACTGGAAAGAAATAGTTGTGTCCAAGCAACAGCACAGGTCACCTTCATCAGGCATTTAGTACTACTGCTTTGTGAATGTATAAATTCACTTGTTCTGTCTTCCATATTATGGGTTTATAGCATCTCTGTGTTTTTGACAGACCCATGAACTTTCTTTGTCTAGGGAGGTTTCCATGTTTAAATTAAATTCTTAGGTATTGTTTTAGAGAAAAAAAAATTTAAACGCCGATAGCAGTAACATGATTCCTGATACCACTGAGGTGTACTAAAACGTGGTGAGTTTTATGCTGTTGTGCAAGCACAGAGGAGCAAACACCTAACACCAATTGCAGTTGTTTGTGTATTGGAGAATGGCAATGAATAGAATAAATCCCCCACATGTGCTAATGATCATGCTAATTTTATTTCCAGATTGATGCTTTGGAGGATCTCTGAGCATTTCTGAAGAACTAAAGAATTATTCCTCACAGCAGCCCGTAAGGTAGTAAGTATTATTACTATATTTTGTAAATGTGAAAGAATTGTGAGATATTGATAAGCAGAGAAATTGCCAAATCAGTCAAGTCAGTGGCAAATAACTTTTTCCCTGTAGAAAAATATCACTCTTTCTGATACAAGGCGGGTACAATGTTGATGTTTCTACAAACAAGCCATTGCTGAATGACTTTAATTTGATTGCCTCAGAGTGAGACTCTTTTAGGGTGTATTCTGTGATTGTCACTGAGGTGGTATAACACAAAGAATAGATTGCGGCTGAGAGGGGATTTGTAATCTGTTTGTTGGGCTTGAATATTGGCTGTAGCTGGCAGTAGAACAGCAGCCAGTTTGATGGGTCCGCACAATAATGAGGGCTAAGAAGATCTAGTGCTCTCAGTTGAACTGCTGTTGGCCTTCCTTATCATATTACCTCACCTCCTAGCTGCAGGGACTGACAATCTTTCAAGGAGGTGTGCACAGTACTGTTTTTCCCCTTTGCATTAGGGGGAGGAAAGCAGCAGAGGCTGCGAGTGTTTCTTCTGAGAGGCTTGTCTGACTGTGCGGGGGAGTTCTGTGAAGGGTAACATCCAGCACCCGAGGGATTTGGCTTTGGAAGGAGCCAGGGCAGGCAGGTGTCCTTCCTAGTGCTGCAGCCTCTCCTACCTTGCTCTGCCCTAGGTGGGGTGTCTCACTGGAAATGCTTTACCGTAATCTTGTGGCTTTCAGCTGCCAAGCGGTGTTTCGGCACCTACAGCTATTGTTCCATATGGCACTGCTGCTTCTACCCCCATTTATTAGCTTGGATTAATTAGCAGGCATTTATAATAATCTGATAGACCAATACAATAGGCTACTGCCATGCTTTATCTTAAATAATGGCCACAGTAACTGCAGTGATACTGTTTTACTTAAATGAAGGTAGTTACACATGCTATTGAGAATGAACTGAATGTGATACATGACATAAACTGGTAATTAACACGTGGTCCCTGATGTCCACAAGCTCTGGAAATCCATTCACAATCATAAACAGCAGATTTCTGAAGAATGGAAGGACGATCACAAACATTTATATACAAACTAATGCAAAGTGGAGGAAATGCATATCCAGCCACAGATAGCTGTTAAAGAAAAGCAGTACCAAAAATTGTGTACTAAAGGCCTAGACCTTAAAAAGAGTAAACAAGACCCATTGCTAAGACACAATTGAGAAATCTTTGCGTAGAACAGAGGGAATATGTGATAGATATGTAATGATGTTTGGCTATAATTGCATACAGCATGACTACAGTGAAAGCATAAACCTAATTCTTTTCCAAATCTGAAACCAAATCTTGTTTTTCCAACCTAGAATTTCTTAGCTTTGCTGAGGTTTTGGAACCAGCAGTTTTGGAACCAGTAATTGAAAGAAAACTGTCGCTCTAATAGTTGAACTTGCCTTTTTTTTGCCAGTGCAGTCCAGTGACAGAAAGGGGAGGATAAAAGAAACCAGTTACTTTACAACGCTTCACGTACAAAAAGGTGTGATGGGAAATGTAGGGTTTTTATAAATAAATCTGGTATATTAAGCTGTAGTCTTATGCCATTCTAAAATAAAAGAAAGTAAGAGTTTGTCAGTGACAAGAGCAAAACAAAATGAAAGCTATCTTGTGGGATTTTAATAGAATTGTAAAGCACACTCTTTTGCCTTTGGGAAAATGCAAGGTGTTACTCACAGTTCTGCTTGGTTTCTGCTTGGTTTCATTCAGTCTGAGTTGCCTTTTCTTGTCAATGGGGTGCAATTCTCATGGAATGAGAATAAGGCTAATGGAGGCAAACACCAGCAACAGTGAACTGTAGCCAGTAAGAAAAAGGGGAGGCTGAAAAGAGACAAGCAGGAATACAGTGTTGCGAATGCTGGTGTCTCTGTTGTTACTTTGTGACACAGGTTGCAACCTGAAACATACACAACTGAAATACTGCTTCAAGCTTTCCTAAATTTCAAAGAGGCTCGGTTTTACTGAGCGTTGGGCAGAAGACGTGGGAAGGGCAGTGGCTAGGGCACACTGAAACCTAGTGGGGCCTTCTGCTGGGACAGACATTACTGAGCAGTCCCTTTGCTACTTTTTGAAGGGATAGGCTGTCTGCTGGTGAAGTAAGTGTGCAGACATAGATTTCCTAGTGCTGTGAAGAAACCGGGGACTGGAAAGAATGCTGCAGTGATTCAGAGTTAGTAGGTTTCTGACCAAAAACAGGTCGAAAGTGCACACAGTGAAGCATGCAATACCGCTTTCTTCCTGTGCTGCCCTGAATGCGCCAGGTACAGTCCACATCTTTGTCTGCCTCACAGCGGAGGAGCACCTTAGTAAGTAACTGATTGCTCCATTAATTCTCCCATTCCAGTGATGTGAAGAGCTGCCACAGGGAGCAAAGCTCTGGGTCTCTGCTGGCAGGGGAAGCAATGACTGGCAAGTGCATGTCACAGAGAAAGGGAGTTTCCAGGGTGTCAAAAATGTCTCACTTTGGCTTTTGTTTGGGTGTTGAAATGCTGAGCCAGCATCCTGATGCACTTTGTTATTCTGGAAGAAAGCTACTCCATTTATGCCTCAGGTTCCTGTAAGAATTGCTGGGCCAGAGGCTGGCCTGTAATTGCAGCTGTCAGCTCACTGTTAAATGGAGAGATGTAAAATACCTCCCTGCACATCATTTATTAACATTTAAAATCCATCAGGGGACATATAAAACGTTTCTCTTTTTGTAACATTTATAAACTATCGAGGAACACAGACACATTCCCTTATATTAATTACTCTAATTTAGGCAATGTCCATAGAGGGCCCGTGAGCACACCAGCTATGATTCCCCCCACAATCCTTTTATTTCTAGTCATTGCGGTTCCCCTGAGCCCCTTCCAGCTGCACATTCTCCCAGCATGAAGCAGAGTAATGCTGGAGAGTGAATGTATTTCCAGACCTTGTATACATGAGGGAGTTGCACTGAGATGACTGATAAACCTGCTTAGTTAAACCAATGCAAAATGTGTTGTGGGCAGTCTTATTTCATGTGGCCGCTTCTTTTAGATGTAGATTAGCTTTGAAATCAAGTAAACTCCCATTTAACATCTTCAAATAAAGATGTATGAAGGCATTCGCATCAGTTTAACTTGAATTGTTTCAGTCAGATGCAAATGAAACCGGTGAAACTTTCTTGTACTGAGATGACCTCAGTAAATACAAATTTCTGTCTGTCTTTTACAGGCCTGAGGGGTTGCAGCTATTCTGCAACTTTCTTTTGGCAAGACATCATTTTAATCACCTAAGCCAGGAGCCGGGGGGTGGGGTTATAAACTCTGCCTGATCAGTGTAATTCAAAGGAGGGACATTTAGTAGTCAAGAAGGAATATGAAAGAAGGCAGTTTCACTTGTCCCCCTCCTCTCCTTTTAACCTCTTCAGGCCTGATGCTGTAAATGTGTTGGGCCTGCTACACATCCTCAGTGCCTTACTGTTGCTGGAAGAATTTGCCACAGGGCTGGGACATGTAGCCCAAGCAATGCATCTGACTAGGTCACCCTGCTGCATCTTTAGACAGTGAATTCTCCAGAGCTTTCAATCTTCTCTGCCAGACTTTGGGATTGGTACCCACATGCCAGAGCAAGAAAATGAGCTGTCCTATTCCTCCTGGGTTATTTCAGCCAGCTGTTAAAATAGTTGATGAAAAGAAACTTGGCTGCTTGCAGTAGGCATGTTTTCCTGTGCTAGCATGACATTTGGAGAATAAAATGAATGTCATCATGAGTTTCCCCCATGACGTAATTTGAAGAGTATTCCCCAGCCGTATGTGCTGAGCTGTGAGAGTTGTTGCTGAAAGCACATAATATTGTGTATGCTTAATTTTAAATGACTACACAGTGGATAAGTCTGTATGTGTTACAGAATTACCAGGGTTTCAAATGAATAGACCTATGGTTTTCTTCATCAGAGATGAGGCCAGATAAATGTTGCTTGTCCCTTTCCTGCTCTACACTAGCCTTGTCACCTGGGGGTGTTTTAGCAAGTGTCCCATGTCAGCAATGGAAAGGCAGTGTGAAATGTGTGGGGAGGCTCCAGAAGGGTTGTTGTGCCAAGGGTGGCTGATGAGGTCCGGTGCCCTGAGGAGGGTCCTTTGGCAGAAGCATTCTTACCGTGAGCTGTGCCACTAAATCATATATCATAGCAGGGCTGAAATTTGTTTTTAGCAATTCAAGAACAAGATCCTACATCTGTTCCTAATTACAGGTAGGGATCTCAGAGGAGGTCTGAGTTACAGTGTATGTGGATATCAAAATGCATAGCTCTCATTACTTGAATAGGTAAATAATTTTATTCATCATCTGCGCAGGGACGTAGGAAGTGTAGCCCAGGAGATGTTAACAATTAACTGCAATCTCGTTTGCATTACCAGCTATCAATATCTTCAGCTTTTCTGCACAGTAGTTTAATATTGACTGTGTAAACCTTCTGAGAAGTGGGTTGGGGGCTAACTTTTCTTTTGAGAATCAGGCATTTAAAATATGCATTTATATTTTTGCCAGATTGTATTTATCTTCTACAGAAAAAAAATTATAATGTATGTTTTCATGGTTCTTTGCTTTCTTTTAGGGCCCAAACATCTTTTGTAATATCTGGGCTATCCTCAGCTTGTGACTGGCTTCCATTCAGGTTGAGATGCTAACCACCATGCTGGACTGTTTCCTGTTTCTGAAACAGTTTTCCCTGGATCCCAGAATTTTAGTTTGGGCAATATTGGTGTTGTTGCTCATCCTTTTGAGGGCAGCTATTTCTTTCCCATGCAATATACAGACACTACAATCCATTAAGTGCAAGGATTTGCTCTTGATTTTCAAAAGATGTGCCTTCATTGTAGAGTGCACCGGGAGACTCCACAACCCGTATTAGTACAATTTATTGCTATAGATTGAAACAGACAGAAGAGAGAAAAATAATGAGAAGTGGAGCTATTTGTGGGCAAATACGCTCTAATTCAAATTT